ATTTGTGTAAATTATAGCATACGATAAATCAAATAAATTTTATATTTATATGAATTTGTCGTACATAACAAACGAAAAATATATGTTTTTCAATAATGAAAAGTAAAAATATTTGAAAAAATGTAGTTGTCGTTTACAAATAAATAATATTGTTATAAATATAATAATGAAAGCTTCTTGGTATATAATTTTTTTTAAAATAGATTATATGGTAAGTCTAAATATTACAGATAGTTAAACTTAAATCTGTAAAATGTGTATTACTGGATTTATATTATAAAATTAATAAAAAAATGTAGAGATTTCCACCATAGCATATGATTTTAATTGAAATATTTTTATTGATTAATTTAAATGACATGTTTCTTAAAATCTTCATTGAATGACATATATGATTTTTTTCACCAAATATCTACTCAATTAATATATAGAGGATTAGTGACATTCTTGAAAACGTCTCAAAATGATGACATTTTTTAAAAGTGGTATATTAAAAATGGTATTTTAAAAAATTCTCTACATTTAATATAAGTGTCATATAAATTAAGTTTTGTAAGATAAAAAATATTTATTTGTATGAGAGATATATACTATTTGACTTATAGATCTTCTTTTTAGTTTCGCATATTTTAATTTCGCGTTTGACTCGGAACAAAAAAACTAATAGTTATTGAAAAGAAAATAAGATATTCACAAATATTTTCTATATTCTTTAAATAAAATCATCTATATTAATTACCACATATTTGTTGTTTCCATATATCTATTATTAAAACATTTTAATAGTCTTTATTATGATTTTTCGTGTTTTCTCTATTAATATACAGAGGATTCGCATTTTTAGGTTGAACCCGGTCAACATATGTTTAATCATACAAGAGGAGTCAAATTGATGGGAATTTGGGCCGGATTTATTGGGCTGGGCTCTAGGGACATTGGGCTAGGTCCAAGCTCGTGGGTGGGCATGTCAATCATGATGGTATTTTTTTTTTTTTTGGGTCAAATCATGATGGTTTATGTTATTACGTGACATGAACCAGATGTCACTGACATCATTTTGTTCAAATTCGTAAGAGATATTTTTTATTCATAAGAGAGATATTTATTCATAAGAGATATTTATTCAATATAATGCCATTTCCAAAACATTATAGACAGAAATAGAAACATAGGGTTTATATACGAAAGGAAACAAACATATATATTGTTGAGACTTGAGATTGAAGATCATGTCTTTAAGTCGAAGAGACCCTCTTGTGGTAGGAAGAGTTGTTGGAGATGTTCTTGATCCTTTTACGAGATCGATCTCTCTTAAGGTTGTGTATGGCCAACGACAGGTTACTAATGGTTTGGATCTTAGGTCTTCTCAAGTTGTGAACAAACCAATGGTCGAGATTGGAGGAGATGACCTCAGAAATTTCTACACTTTGGTTCG